GTTTACCAGCATACCCCAACATGTCCCAGTTTTTTTGCTTGTTGATTATTTTTTAGACTGGTTTTCCTATGTAGCCTTGACTGGTCTAGAACTCACTCCTACCTCAAACTCATAGTGCTAGAATTAAGGTGTGTGCCCCCACACCTAGCTCATACTCATCTTTTTATGTGGGTTCTGGGAACCGAAGTGAAGCTCTCATGCTTTCACGGCAGCTTCTAAGCCATCTTCCCAACCCTCAAAATGCTGTTGTAAATAAATATTTCAAAAATACTCTCATCCAACCTAATCACACATGTGGTTTTTTCCCCTCCTCCTAAAGGATCCCAGATATTCAAAGAATATTAAATGAGGTCATAAGGCAATAGAAGAATCAACTGACCTGGTGGCTCAGGTTGGTAGCCACAACTACTCAGGAGCTTGAGATGGGAGGGTCACAAGTTCAGTGCATGTCTGGGCTGTAGAGTGAGTTGAAGGTAAGCCTGGGTAACTCAGTGAGAACCTATATCAAAGTTTATAAATGTGCAAAGAGAGGGCTGGGTGTGTAGTCCAGTGATATACTGCTCACCTAGCAGGCATGAGGTCTCAGGCATGATCCTCAAACACCTCTCCTGCTCCTCTGACTTTACACTCACTATTTCTCAAACTGAATGTGTTGAGTAGCTTTCCATTGCTGTGATAAAGTACCTGAGTAAGCAAAGGAGGAATTATTCATTTCAGTTGATCATTTCAGAAATTTCAGTTCATGGTGACTAGGCTGTATTGACTTTGAGCCTGTGGGGATAGGAAGGAGGTCATCATGATATAGACGGCATGACAGAGCAAAACTGATCACCTTGCTGAAGCCAGGATGGGCAAGGGCAGAAGCAAGATATAATCTTTGAGAGATTAGGCTCTAGTCTAAACATTTCCATTATCTCCTAACAATTCCTTCAGTTGTCATTGCACTAAGGGATTAATCCACTAATAAGATCAGAATGCTTATGATATGACCCCAGGTTCAACTTCTGGCTCCTGTTATATTGCTGCATTGGGGACCAGGCCTTCAACACATGACCTTTGAGGGTCATTTCCTATCCAAACCATGAGCAATAAGGAAAAGGAACTTCCATATATTTATATTTCTTAAGATTTTAAAACTCAGTCTATTGGTTAGAGTATTCTACCACTTTGTTTCTTGCTGCATCACCTGTAACACATAAAACTGCTTACAAAACTACTTATGATGAAAACCTCTGAAATCATGCCAAAGGTTCAATATGTACAGTGCAAGCATATGTAATTAAAACAAAAGCAGTTATTTAATTTCTAAATTCCTATATTGTTCATCTCTACTTATCTTTTGAACCTTGTACTCATATTCTTGGTACTGTTGGTGGACAAGAATGGGATTCTTGATACAAAAACATATATAAATCTAAATCAAATCAAATAATTTGAGGCTAACTCAAAAAAAATGCAGAACTTTCCAAATTAGTCTTCTGGAAAGTTCAGTTAAAATAGAGGGCATCTACCAATTGGGAAAGGGTCTAAAAGTCAAGGAATCCATAGGAAGAGACTGTAACCATGAAGTACTGAAAAGCTCAAAGGCCAGTAATCCAGTTAGAAGTTATAGACTGTTGCTGAGTTCCCCTGAAATGTTAGAGTCTAGAACTATCTCCTTCCAACCTTCAAAGATAACATACAACTAACGTACATGTTTGCGGGCTTCTAGGTTTTACTTCCCTTCTATCTTTACAACCCGTGTCTTTTTTCCTGGGGTTGTTTTGATATAAACGAACAGACATGATACATTAAAATATTTCAGGCTAAGCATGGTGGCGCATGCCTGAAATCATAGCACTTAGGAAGCCCAGGCACAAAGGTTGGAAATTCAAGATCAGCCTAGGGCTACATCACATCTCAGACACTCTCCTCTGCAATGAAGAAATACTTCTAGTTCAAAGCCAGCCTGAGGCTACAGGATATCTCAAGCACTGTTTTTGCCATAGAGGAAAATCCATTAATACAAGGCTAATCTGGATTACTTCTATCTTTTCAATTTAGCCTGTGGTACATAGCAAGACCTTGTCTTCAAAAGCTTCAGTCTCAGGTTTTCTGTTAGGTCACTTGAGAAAATGTTCCTACTTTTTCTTTATTTTTTAAACTTTTACATAAATGAGTGTTTGCCTGTGTATGTATATATATGTGTGTGTGTATGCGCATATATATGTATATATATGCATCACATGTGTGCCTGGTGTTAGTGGAGGCTAGAAGGTGTCCGATCTCCAGAACTGGAGTTACAAATGGTTGTGATCTGCCATGTGAGTGCTGGGAACTGAATCCAGGTCCTCTGCAAGAGCAGCCATTTCATGGCTAAGCCATCTGTCTAGTGTGCCTCCCTCCCTGTCTTCATGGGAAAAGCTTCACAATCATCTAGTTCACAGAGGCTTCTGATGGAGGAAAAAAAAGGCCTGCTGTAAACCATTTCAAACAGTTGTATCTGGGAGAATACCTACAGGAGCCAAGCTACAGGAGTAATAATTCAGCAGTACACAGCTGTCATTGTTGTGTAGCTTCCTCATGATGTCCACAGAGTATTCAAAGTGGCTGGCTGCTTGGCTGGCTGCACCAGAGAGGGGATATCTGTTAATTAGGCAATCAACCCTCACCTCCCATTGCAGCTAATAGGAAAACAACATAAAAAGGAATAGTTAAAATCAAGATTTATTATCACCATTATCATTGACTTAATAGTATTTAGCAGTCTTTTAACAAGACTTCACTTCTGTTCTAGACCCACAGGGAAATGTGTCTCAAGATTATTGCTGATGTTAATGTGATTGCTTGATAGTAACTAATGAAAAGTGTCAACATTTGGAAGACTTGCTTAATTCAGTAACTCATTCTTCAAATGACCAATGGGTATTACAAAATCATGCATAGTAAATATGTATTTAGATTTACAACTAAAATCAGTCAATTCTAAAGTATGAAATGTTCTCTTAAATTTCAAATTCCTGAGACAGGTATAGTGGTGCATGCCTTTAATCCCAGAATTAGGATGGTGAACTCTGTGAGTTTGAGACCAGCCTGATCTACAGAGTTCCAGGACAACCAGAGCTGCAGTGAGATCCTGAAAAAAATCCAGATTTCAAAATTGGAAATAACTATTACAAAAAAGAAAAACCAGCACTTGTGCCTGCTTCATCAAAAAATAACCAGGACTGGGGACATGGCTCAGCTGGGGAAGTGCTTGCCAGGCAAGGATAAGGATCTCAGTCTCAATTTGGATCCCCAGAACCCACATAAAGACTGGGCCTGAAGTGTACCTATAATCCCAGGGCTGGGGAGGCTAAGATTGGCAAAACCCTGACACTTGCTGGCTAGCCAGTCTAACCAATAATCCAGCTCCAGGTTCAGGGAAAGATACTATCTCAAAAAATAAGGTACAGAGCCCCCCCCCCCCCCTTTTTCCCTTTGAGGAAGACCTGTCATTAACCTCTGACCTCCACATACAAATACACACACACTCACACCTACATATATATGTGTGTATACATATATATGTGCACAGATGACTGTGATCACCTGGAAAAGCTACTAAAAATACTTCTGTTTGCCTACTACTGTGCCACAAACATTCTTCGTGTATTTTAGCCAATAAAGCACACACAGCTCTGTCTGTGTCCAGGATGTCTAGAGACCAACAAGTTTGAGAACAGATGCACTGCACTGCTTAGCTGACACATTCAGAATACTGAATTCCACAGCATCGGGCTGGGAAAAGTGTGAAAGCATAAAGAACCGAGTTCAAATCCCAGCACCCATGTATAAAGCCGGGCATGTCGGTATGAACCCATAATCCCAAACTGGGGAACAGAGGCATGAGGCTTTGCTGGCTATCCAATCTCAACTAAATCAATGAGCTCCAAACTCAATGAGATATCCTCTCTGAAAAACTAAGAGGGAGGGGACTGGCGAAATGGCTCAGTGGGTAAAGGCACTAGCCACAAGCATGAAGACACGAGCTTGTTAGGACTCACATGGTGGAAGGACTTTCTTAACGATGCTCTAACCTCCATGAGAGCATTGTGGTATGCCCACGCCCACTCACACAAATAAACAAACCTGTAATATTTAAAATGCTAACTTTAAAAAAAGCAAGAGAGGAAGACATCATGCACCTGAACACATGCACGTACATAATGCACACGGTACACATACACTACCAAAAATGATTTGGTGTAATACATGAACTTTTCCCCAATTACATCATATCTCATAATTTTTAAACATTTACACAAACCTCATATAACCTGGAGTGAGAGACTGCTAACATTAACCTTGCTTCACTAAAATTATTAAGAATGGATCCACATGATGGTTTAATGATTATCAAATCAATTCAGCCCAAACTCTGGTTCCCCAACCTGCCCTACTTTCATTTAACGTTGCTGAACAATGTATTTCGCATTGCAAAGCACCTGCTACAAAGGTACAGAATTTTCCTTCTGAAGTAGTATGTTGAGGAAGCAGGGGTATATCTTCCAAACTAACATATTAGCAATGATTTCTCGTTTTTGCTTAATTTTTATCAAGTTCAATTAGAGCTTCATTCCAACCTCTTGGTCTGATTTTAAAGGGCAGAACATTAGGCAGTGCCTTAAGGCGCTCCTGTGAAAAAAACCTGCATTCGCCAGGGCTCCCGTCTCAAGGCGTCTGACATCATCACGCACACCCACCCAGGCGACGTCATGGGCCCGCCTTGCCGCCCCCTGATTGGCGAGCCCGAGTATGGTCGAAGGTGCCATTGGCTGGCGGTCGGTTGGGTCGCACCATCCTCTAGACACCTTCCCCGGGAGAAAAGCTTTCCTTTCGCGAGGCAGCTAGGCGTGCTTTGCGCTAGGAGTCGCCAACACCCTCGACCGCGGCCTAGTTCCGCAGCCACTCAGCGAAACCTCCAGATCGTTTTCCGTAGCAAAGTGCTAGGGAGGTGGCACCACCGCGCGCCAGCCTGGCGCGGCCAAGGACGTCAGGCTTACTCTAGTGGCAATTGGCTGAGAGCATGTGGCGTGGAGGGGAGCTGGCGCGACTGATTGGACATGCTTTTAGGGGGCGTGGTCTGAAGGCGTGGCTTCCTGCGAAGAGCGTTGAAATACGGCGCGTCTCAGGACCTCACCGGATTTCTTGTTGGCATCTCTGGTAAGCCTGGTTTCGGTGAGGGGTGGCGCGCGGGTTAGCAGGAGCTGACATGGTTTCGCAGCTCGGCTCTCCATGGTGGGTCTTCGACGTTCGGGCCGCCTGGTACTGTTTCCCTCGGTCTAGGCATCGATCCCCTTGGACCGAGTGGGTGGTCCTGGGAAGGGTCGGCTGCATTCCAATGGCAGAGCGTCGGATCCACTGGGCTTTCCGTGGAAACGCCCAAAGGAGTGGTCCAATAGTCCGAGAAATGCTACGGTTCATAGCTTTTGGGGAGCTGAGTTATACAAAGGGAACTGACTTGAGTAGTCTTTGCTCCAGCATGGAGCACCTCACTTGTCTTCATCCAATTAATAATGAATAAGTAGGTCGATTCCGAAACTGCTTTCTTTAATGAAGGACTTGCAGGTGTTGTGGTTGGAAAATATCCACGTACATTATGTTTTGTTTTGTTTGTTTGTTTGCTTGCTTGCTTGTTTTTCGAGACAGGGTTTCGTGTAGCTTTGGAACCTGTCCTGGAACTAGCTCTTGTAGACCAGGCTGGCCTCGAACTCACAGAGATTCGCCTGCCTCTGCCTCACAATTGCTGGGATTCAAGGCTGTGCCACCACCACCGGGCTCCACGTGAGTTTTATACAGAAATGGAGATGCCTCTCATGTAGATCTTTTTCTTGAGTTAGATGATGTGTATTTTCCACACCTTATCTTTCAATGGGTTTTTTTAAAATGCCATTTTATCCTTTAATCATAAAGTTGATTCTTAATATCCTGGTATGAGTTAAAGACGCTATTTTAAAGACTTTAGTAATTCCACAAGAATGAAATCTATCTTAGGATTTTAAATTAGCCTATGAACGTTGTAAATATATCCTGTGAATTGACTCCACTTTTACTTCTTACAGTGCTTGTCCTTTCATGTAATCGTTAAGCTCGCTTCTGTTTATTTGATATACAGTATTTTAGACTCATTATCATCCATAATGTCCTCCTTCCCCCTAATTAGTTTATTCTGTATTCTAGTTTTACAAAGTTATATTAGGTAGCCGTTCGGTGATAATGTTTCAACTGCAGGATTCTGTGTATTCGAAAACAGAGCACATAGACTCTTCTAAATAAATTGTGTGGAAAAAGTTACTTAAAAAAAAACAACTGGGAAAATGTGTATGGTGTAAGCGGTGCAGGGCTCTGACAGAAAGGGACTCTAGCACTCTGGAGTCACAGAATAATGAGTGTTACAGCTGAGTCAAAGGGGTACCACAGGTCACACTAATCGTAGCAGCTCCAGGGAGGGCTTCCCCAGTGTAACAGTCCTGCTCCAGCAGGGAGGGCTTCCCCAGCAAATTGTTACAGTTTGGCTCTTGTCTACCAGAGTGTAACAATTCCACTTTGCTAGGGAAACGTTTCCCCGGTGAAGTGTTAGAGGACCCCTCCTGGCTCCAGTGAACAGTTGTTACTTCTCTCCTCCCCTCCATACTGGCAGAGGCCAGCTGGACAGCCACAAGCTGAACAGGCACCGGACTTCTTAGAGGCAGAGTTTTTCCAGGGACATTTCAAGGGTGGGAATTGGTCAGATTTCAATCCCAGCACTCTGGCTAGATCTCGTGCTCAGGGATTGGTTGGTTTTCTGCACAGGTTCAGATTAGGCTCTGGTTTCAGGGCCAAAGTGTGTTTCTTTCACTGGTCCTTTTTAGCCTTTTGGCTCTAATTTTAGGGTCAGGGTGTATTCCTTTCACTGACTTTGATTCTGGGGACAAAGTGTGTTTCTTTGGCACTAGTTTCAGAGTCAGGGTGTGTTTCTTTGCCTGGCCTTTTTCCCTACACAAGGTACTCTTACAAAGATTAGAAAACTTAGAAACTGCTGGATGTGCAAAAGATGTTAAGATACCGAAAGTGGTCTAAATTTACACCTAAGGGATAGAGTTCAGAAAATGAAGTGTCTGCACTAAGGTTGGGATTGTAATTTTTTTCTGGAGAAAAAATTAAAACATTTTGTGACATGGGGATTAAGTGAAGTTTAGATTTTGGTGTCCATAAAATTAAAGACTGTTTGGAACATAGCTGCACCTAGTTTCACATTGTCTAGGTTAGGCATCGCCCAGCTCTTGCACTTATAAAGGCAGAATTGGCACTATACTAAATCATTGCTTAAAAATAATGCCAGGAACTGCTCTAAGGCATCCACTTGAACATAGTGAATAAAGTTTTTGCATCTTCATCAAAAATATTATCTATATACTGCCCTTAGAAGAATTGACAAAATAGTTGCATAAATCTAGTCCAGGTTGATTGAATAAAATCTTACTGGAACATTGTTTATATGCCATGGTTAAAGGTGTGCACCACCATATGGATTTCAATAAACATTGGTGTGTGCTAAGGAAGTGAATGGCAAAAATACTGGGGATGACCATGAGAACACAAAGAATCCAGAGACTGTTGTGGAAAACTAGGATGAAAAGTTAGATTGGAGCCAGATCACACGTAGAAAAATACATAAAGAAATACACAAAGGGAGAAGAGTTGGCTTCCCAATGCTACAAGAGGTATGGGGTAGGGGGGGGGGAGACTGAGAGTAACGTGTAAAAACTTAAAATTTTAAAAAATGAGCGAAAAGAAAAAGAGGTATCAGTGAAATAATTTGAATAGAACATTGAGTTGCGGGCTGGAGAGATGGCTCAGAGGTTAAGAGCACTGGCTGCTTGCTCTTCCAGAGGTCCTGAGTTCAATTCCCAGCAACCACATGGTGGCTCACAACCCATCTGCAATTCAATCTGGTGCTCTCTTCTGGCATGTAGACAGAACACTGTATATGTAATAAATAAATAAATCTTAAAAAAAAAGAACATTGAGTTGCCATTTTAGAGCAACTGTTATAAAATGCTAGTTGCAATTGTCTACAGGAGAAATGATGATCAAGTTTAGGATTGAGTGGCCAGTGGCATCCTTGGAGAAGCCCAAGTGGTGAGGCTGCAGATGGGAACAGTAAGCTTACTTATAAGCTTAATGGATGAGCTAGTTCCTCAGCTCAAGTCTGATATGCTCCCCTACTACATTTTTATTCCATTTAGAATATTCTAATATGATGGCCTTTCTCAATGTTAGTGTTCTAGGTCAGACCAGACATCCTGTTACAATGCCTGAAATAAATACCAGCCATCTCGATGAACAACAGGTTCAACTTCTGGCAGAGATGTGTATTCTTATTGATGAAAATGACAATAAAATTGGGGCTGACACCAAGAAAAATTGTCACCTGAATGAAAACATTGACAAAGGTACTGTCTTAAAATATGTTTGATATAAGGTGATTTGTCTAGACATTTCCAGTTGGCTGAGAAAAATAATGGGATAAAAAGAATGCTTTTGCTTTTGGGGGTTAGGAGGTTTTCACTTTGTAGCTCAGGCTGGCAACTCTACAGAAATCTGCCTTCTAAGTGCTGAGAGATCCATTTCTTAATGGTATTTTACATTTCATTCCAGTTAAACAGTGCAGTAGTAAAGTCTACCTTGCTATCTCTTCTGTAATATTTCTTTTTATTTTTTCCTTATGTGGAAGGGAAAAGAGAGAGAGAGATGGAAAGAGAGAAAGTGACCTGCTTCCCCAGAGAAAGGCAGAAAGAGCTCCTGTAGTATTTCTTTCCACTTTGTGTATTTTACTAAGCTGCTTCAGAATTATTCGAGGCTCTTAAAGAAGGAACAGACTATTAAAATGATACTCAAGCTTGTCTTTCTGAAAACTATAGAGAGAAGTAGTTATTGAAGGAAAACATGAACACACACCCCACAAAACAGGAGACTAAATGACCTGGGGTTCACTATTCCTAAAAGAACATTTGGCCTGCCTCAGAGCTGTCGACAATGCCATTCGTTTTACTTGGTGACTGAGTCTTGCTGGTTTTGCTGGAATTATTCTCATTATCAACCATACAGAAATTCCTGTTAGAAGACTAGAAAATAGCAGAACTGTCAGCAAGGTGCTAGTCATATTCTCAACTGCAAGGGGGAAATCTGAACAAATAACTAGCATTTTTTGACCATTCATACTTATTTTGCTTTTAGGATTATTACATCGAGCTTTTAGTGTCTTCTTGTTTAATACTGAAAATAAGCTCCTGTTACAGCAGAGATCAGATGCTAAAATTACCTTTCCAGGTTAGTATGCTTAAAGCACAACATAGATTCTACTGGGGACTATATTAATCTGATTGAACTTCTTGGAGCCAAGGTCCAAAAGGAATAGCTTGGTAAATGGCTTCATTTATATCTTACATTAAATAAGCCTATCCAATGAATAAAACCTTAATATCTGAATTATCTCTGTTTTGATCTTTCTGGTTTTGTTTCTCTTTGTAACAGCCCTGAAACTCTCTTTGTAGACCAGGGTGGCCTCAAAACTCACAGAGGTCCACCCACCTCCACCTCCCAAGTGCTGGGATTAAAGGTGTGGACTACCAGCACCCAGTGATCTTCTTGGCTTAAAAAAGCATTAAAATTTATCTGTAACTGTCTTTTAGAAAATAATACTGGAAGTGAATTATAACTGACTTAAAACTCTGTTTACCTGATTACTTATAGAACTATTCCAAGATCTTTCAGACCTGATTTGAAGAAAAGTCCATCTTTGTTCATATTAATATTTTCCAGGTTGTTTCACCAATAGTTGCTGTAGTCATCCATTAAGTAATCCAGGAGAGCTTGAAGAAAACGATGCCATTGGTGTAAAACGAGCTGCACGGAGGCGCTTAAAAGCTGAATTGGGAATACCCTTAGAAGAGGTAATCAGTCTTATTAGATAGCCTACAACCTAAATCTAAGTCAGGATGATAAGGTATAAACTAATGACCAGAAGGAAATTTTCAGCAATGTTTTGAGTGGAACCTGGAGTTTTGTACATTCCTGGCAGGTACTCCTCCACTAAGTTACAGTTCCAGGCCAAGAATTTTGTTTTGAGACAGAGTTTCACTATATAGCCCAAGCTAACCTTAAAATCTTGATTCTCCTGTTTCGGTCTCCCAATTGCTGTAATTACAATAATACATGGTCTGTGCTTTATAACTGCCAGATTTACAGAGTTAGCCCTTCAATAAGGAACATTACTTACAATTTTTGGGAGGGTGGGGGTGGGGCATCTGTGGGTTCCTGGTCCTACTGTAGACAGGGTATGTGTTGAGGATCATGGCACTTGTTACCCTCGAAGGCTGTGTGACTGCCCCTGGTCTGGGTTGCCAACTGGGGCCATGTTGGAGTCCAGAACTCCACTGCTGCTGATCCCATGCTGATCTGGGAGGCCTGTGCTGCTTCCTAGGGCCATGGTAACATCTGGGCTCAAGCTGCTGCTGCTGACCATGTCTGGGTCTGTGGTCCTCTCAGAGCTGACATCTGTGTTGATGTCCATTGCCAGTGCTACCACAGGGGCTGGTATTACCTATATTTTTCTTGTTTTTTTTTAAGATTCATTTATTTAATCATTATATGTACAGTACTATGCCTGCAGGACAGAAGAGGGCATCACATTTCATTATAGATGGTTGTGAGCCACCATGTGTGTGCTAGAAATTGAACTCAGAACCTCTGGAAGAACAGCCAGTGCTCTTAACTGCTGAGTGATCTCTCCAGCCCCTTGTTTTGGTTTTTTGAAACAGCGTCTTGATATATAGCTCATACTGGTTTCCAATAAACCATATGCTTATTTTTGCCTCCTAAATGCTGGGATTATTGCTATGCTTTCCAAACCCAGCCAAATTTTTGTTTCTCCTCCTTAAAAAAAAAAAAAAAAAAACGTTTTATTTTATGGTTTGCCTACATTGATGTGCACCACAGGTGCTAGAAGAGACCAGAAAGAGGGTGTTAGATCCCCAGACACTGGAGTAGAAAATGGCTGTGAGCCTCCATATGGGTGCTGGAAGTGAACCTGAATCTTCTGAAGAGTAGGTAGTACTCTTAACTGCCGAACTATTGCTCCAGCCTTTTAAAAAAATGATACCTATTTTTATTTTATGAGTGTTTTTCCTGTGCGTATGATTGTGTGACATGTGTGTCAGTGCAGGAGGAGGCTAAAAGAGAGAGTTGAGTCCCTTGGAACTAGAGTTATGGCTGGTTCTGGTGTTACCTGCCATGTTGGTGCTAGGACTCAAACCTGAGCCCTATGTAAGAAGAACACAACAATACTCTTACTGCTGAGCTATGTCTCCAGCCTCCCTCTTTCTGAGATATGATAGATCTCATGTTAACTGAAGATGACCATGATGGTCCGCCTGCCTTCAGTTTGCTGATGCTGAGAATACAAGTATGCACCATCATACCTAGTTTATGTGGTGCTAAGGATGGAACACAACTCTTCACCCATGTTAGGCAAGCCCTTACTCAGCAGGCTGAGGTAGTTGGTTCTCTGAGTTGCAGACCAGACTTATGTACACAGAAGTTCCAAGCTAGCCAGTGCTACTTGGGGAGACCTTGCCTTAAAAATAAATACATATTTTTTTTTAGGGAACAATTCCAAGGAAGGAAAAAGTTATTTCAATTCACTTAGATTTGTGGTTCGTGTTCCTAAGGATGCCCTAAGGTGGCATTCATCTCTGATTTGATCAATTATAATAGCCATCATATAGACTGGTATATCAATATACCAAAACTAGGACAGTGATTTTAAGAAACCAAAATTTAGGTCTAGCTAGCCTGGAGCTCACTTTGTAGACCAAGCTATCCTTGAGCTCCTAGAGATCTACCTTCCTCAGCTTCTAGCCAGCATGTCTTACTAAATTGTCCTCTAAAAGACAAAATGTCTTATGTCTAATTGAAATAGTAATGTTTTTCTGTGATAGCAACTTTAAAATATGAATGCAGTCTATTTTGAGTAACTATTTTATATTGAGTAATATTCTAGTTTGAGTAACAATATTTTGAAAGAAAATGAACTTGTGTTTGGTCTCAGGAATTGAAAAAATAGTTTCAAAAGCTCTGATTATAAAACGGTGCTGCTGCCATTCAAGATATTGTTAGAGGGATAGAGAGAAGGCTCAGTGTTAAGAGCACTAGTTGCTCCTCCAGAGGAGACATGTTTCATACTCAACACCAATATGGCAGCTTATAACCCTTTGTAAATCCAGTTCCAGGAGATCACCTGCCCTTCTCTGATCATCCAGGGCACCAAAGCAGTGCACAGACATACATGCAGACAAAACACTCATACACAAAAAATTAATTTAAAAACCAAGATATGAAAGGCTGAAGAGATGGGTTAGTGGTTAAGAGCACTAGCTGCACTTCTAGAAGACCCATGTTCAATTCCCAAGACCCACATGGCAGCTTACATTTGTCTATAATTCAGTTCCAGGGAATCTGACACCCTCACACCAATGCACATAAAATTAAATAAATTATTTAAGAAAAAATAACAAAAAAGATACTCTTGAAATGGGTTGATTTGAGATTATCTTTTGTGATTATTCAGTTTTTCATTTCTTTCGTTTGTTGAAACTCTGTATCCCTGGCTAACTTGGCACTTGCTGTGTAGATCAGACTGGCCCCAGAACCACCTCCCTCTGCCTCCTGAGTACTGGAATTAAAGGTGTGCAACACTATGCCTGACCTCATTGATTATCATTAATTGAGCTTTCTTTTTATGTTGTAGGTTGATCCAAATGAAATGCATTATCTAACACGAATTTACTACAAAGCCCAATCTGATGGCATCTGGGGTGAACATGAAATTGATTATATTTTGTTTCTGAGGAAGAACGTAACCTTGAATCCAGATCCCAATGAGATTAAAAGCTATTGCTATGTATCAAAAGAAGAACTCAAAGAACTTATGAAGAAAGCAGCCAGTGGTGAAGTTAAGTTAACTCCGTGGTTTAAAATTATTGTAGACACTTTTCTCTTTAAATGGTGGGATAACTTAAACCATTTGAGTCAGTTTGTTGATCACGAGAAAATACACAGAATGTGAATGTGTAAATGAATTGAAATTTTTTTCTGCCTAGTAAGGATGTCTTGTTGTTTTCTTCTGAGCTGGGCTTCCTTGTATGATACATAGGTATTTTACAACCAGAATTTGTTTGGGAAAAACTTAAACTTTTATAGTATATATGCACTGATATTTATAAAAGACATTTATGAGAGGTTATTGCAAAATCATACCACAAATAAAACTTAATTTAGCCTATCCAAATACATGACTATGACAAGATTGAAGAAGTAAGTAGGATTCTTCATTCTTTACATTTTGACAAACATCTTCAGAATACTTTGCTATTTGCCAAGTGTTCTTTATATCGTTAAGTTTTTTCATTGGCCAGAAAAATGAGCAAAAGAGACTGCTTAGCTACTTCAAAACAGCCCTAATAGATTAAATGGTCAAGGCAGGGGATACGCTCAGTGGTACCATGATTGCCTTGTAGGCATGATGAGGTCATGGGTTGTTAAGTCCCTAGTCCTTAAAATAACTAAAGCAATAACAGTTAACAGGTAGAGCAGGGTCAAGGGAGAGTATGTGGTATCTAATCGTCCCTCATGCTTCAGGACCCACTTCATAACCAGAACTCTGGATGCTCAAGTCTTCTACAAGATGAGATTGCACATCTTGTATAAGACCTATGCACATCTTTCATGTTGGATTGCTTGTAGCACTGAATACAGTGTAAATGCTAATGTAAATGACTGTTATACTGTGCTTTGTGGTAAGTAAAAGTCTGCATATTCAGTACACATCAAATATTAATATGCAGTTGGTTTGAACCCTTGGGTAATTGGCCCAAAGATTTGAAAGGCCAGTCCTATATGCTAATTTTTGTCATTTTCCATTGATTTTGTGCTTTAACCATTCTGAGATTGTTTTACTACTTAACTATTACTTTTAGTGGGAATGGCAACTGCTTAACTCTTTTAAATAGTTATTTACCATTTAGCAAAATCTGTCCATAATTGTAGTGGAAGAGATGTTAGTCATAAGGTGGGAGTGAGTTCTTTACAAGAGTTGAGAAAACTTTTAGCACTACCAGGCCTAGGCCTGGATAATCTTGTAGGGGTCTGACCTGGGTTGGATGTTTTAGTAGAATTGTGTACCCTGTACACTCTATCATTTAGCACCCCTTTGCTAAGACAACAACAAAATGTGGGTGGGCTGGGTTTTGAGGCAGGCTTTCTCTGTGTAGCCCTGGCTCTTCTAGAATTTACTCTGTAGACTAGTCTAGCCTTGGGACTTAGGATCCACCTGCCTCTGTCTTCCAAGTGCTTGGATTAAAGGCACGCACCACCATACCCAGCAACAACCCAAATTTTAATGGATGATACAAGTGTCCAATAGGGGTAGAGATACCTCTAGTCAAGAACCACTCACTGTTCTGTAGTCAGGGCTTACTTTAGAGGTGGAAACACGAGGAAATAGTAGTGAGGGAGTTTATAATAATATGATGAATAGGTATATAATGAGATTTTGATGTTATAGAATAGGCATATATTGAGATTGTGTCTTGATTGATGTACTTTTAAAAACTTGCTACAGGTGTGTCAACTTTGAAATCTTCAGATGGCTTTAGACTTAAGTGCTATGTAATAATTTTCTTCTTATAAAAATTTTATAAATTTTAATTTATTGGTAACTCAAAACAGTTTATTTATTTATCTTTGAAGATACAATTATGTAGCAAGTGTTTATTGAAAACTAAAAATAAACTATTTTAATATTGTCTCATTTGTTAATATCTGGATATAAAAGATTAGTCTGCATATTTTATTTTAAGCATGATAAATGCTGTATACCATAAATGTATTAAAATAGTTCTAGTTTTATTTCCTATAAATTAGGGCCTGACTACATACAATTAGTTTCTCAGTAGCTTTATATAGCTACTGGCTATCACTCTGAACAGTGGTCTTCGACTGCAACCTAGGACTCTGTAAGGGCAAGCATTGTTAAATATTACTATATTGCTAGAGTGGACCCAATAAACTCCTTGGCACCAACATCTTTCAAAATAAGGAATTATATATCCCACTCAAAATATAGCTACCTCTGACCATTAGGTCTATAACTTAGTTGTGCTGTTTTGAAGGATTGTTAAGGTTTTTATTTGTTTATTGTGACCCTACTGGATGGAGGTGGGAACAGTGGCTTTCGGAATGGACATGCCTAAAAGGAATCTTAGTGAAAGTTGTCTTTATTCCTATGGAGATGCTGGTTCAATGGGATTCACTCAGTTGGATCAGTCCAATCTACTGGACCTTTACCAGGGGCAAGGAATAGAGCCCTTATGAGATGAGGTATCTAGAATACCTTATAAAGGTTAGTTGTTTTTTAAGATTTTTTGTTTTGTTTTAACCTTAAGGATTCATGTTTTACAGAGTGAATTTGAGCATATTATATTTGTATATGCTGCCAAACAGCTTTCTGCCTTGTGGTTTTCAAAGTCATGTGTGTAGTATATATGCACATGTGTTGGGAGGCTTTTTCAATTTGTCTTCACGTCAGTTTTTTAAGGTAGGTTATCTCACTGAACCTGAAGGTGGGCTGGCTGGCTGTTGAGCTCCCCCATCCATATCCTTTTTGTTGTTTTGTTTTTCGAGACAGGGTTTCTCTATTGCTTTGGAAGCTGTCCTGGAACTCACTCAGTATACCAGGGCTGGCCTTAAACTCACAGAGATCCGCCTGCCTCTTCCTCCCTAATGCTGGCATCAAAGTTGAATGCTACCATAGCCTGGCAATATTTACCCTTTTAAATAGATTTAGAATGTTTGAAAAAGTCATAAATACTGTTTTTTTCCAAGATAGGATTTCTCTGTGTAACAACCCTGACTGTACTGAAATTCATTCTGTAGATCAGGCTGACCTTTAACTCACAGAGATCCACCTGCCAAGTACTGGAATTAAAGGTCAGAACCACTATCACCCAGCGTGCTGGAGTTAGGGGCAAGTGAGTCATACCTAACTTTTACATGGGTGCAAGAGGTTTGAACTATGGTGCTCTTCTTTTAACACCATGAGCTTATACCTACTGAGCCATTTTTCCTCATATTTACATTTTGGGGGGGTTGTTCAAGACAAGGTTTCTCTGTACCTTCTGAGCCTGTTCTAGAACTCGCTCTGTAGACCAGGCTAGGCTCAAACTCAGAGATCTGCCTGCCTCTCCCTCCAGAGTACTGGGATAAAAGGTGTGAGAGATCCTGCCTCAAAAAATAAAGTGGAGAAACTGGGCATGGTTACCATTAATCCCAACATCTAGGAGGCAGAGGCAGACTCCATGAATTCCAGGCCAGCCAGGGCTACCAAGTTAGACCCTGTCTCAAAAACAAAGCAAAACAAAATCCAAATTTAAAAGGTAGACCTTACCACATAATGGCAGGATAGAAAGCAATACCACCCTGACTAGTATGTGTTGCATTATGGTAAACATTTGTTCTCAAGTTCTGCCTGATAAGAGACATACATGGAAAATTGGCTTGAATTCCATTTCTTATTTTTGGCTGTGATTCAGACTGGCCTTTATTATGTAAACCCACTGCCAATGTTCTTGAGCCATGAAATCAGTGATATAGTCATCCTTGCTGAGAAACTAGATCTCTCCTAGGTCCTCACAAATAGCCCCTTTTTTCTTTTTTTAAAACATGATTTTTTAAATTGATTCTTTGGGGATTTCACATCATGCACCCTAATCCCCACCCCTTCATATCCACCCTTCACCCTTACATTGTCCCCATTGCTGTTAGAGACCATTCCTCGGAAGCTCAGGAACAGAAAGGGAGACAGCAGACTAATAACTCAGTTGAATTTTTTTTTCTTCTGGGGATGGAAAAATTTTCTGGGGCTGGTGAAAAAGGGAAAAATGCATACACACATCTTCAGCATGTCAGGGTCTTTGTATATTCTTTATTTCTTATCTCTATTCATATGTATCCCTTCTATGTGTCTTTATTTTTTCCCCATACAGCTTATATACCCCAGCAAAATCTTTCAAGCAATATAAAAATTACAAGGTGGTTACATTCTGTTTTTCAAGTGAATGATTACAATAAATAGAAGTAAAAAACAGTATGTTTCTCATTTCCCTTACATGATTAAACATTTTATGTATTGCTGGTGAAAAATTATCCTCAAGAACCCACATACATTCATGTTCATGCAACTTGATATAGATTAACATTAAAGTGTAAGTAAGCAAGGTATTTTTCTTTTTTTTTTTTTTTTTTTTTTTTTTGGTTTTTCGAGACAGGGTTTCTCTGTGGCTTTGAAGGCTGTCCTGGAACTCGCTTGGTAGTCCAGGCTGGTCTCGAACTCACAGAGATCCGCCTGCCTCTGCCTCCCGAGTGCTGGGATTAAAGGCGTGCACCACCAACGCCCGGCTGCAAGGTATTTTTCGCAGGCAGTTCTTTTACTATCAAGCTGTATTTTTCAGTTACAAAGGATCAACCATTTTATTATTTAATCTCAAGAAGTAATCTTATTAAAAACCCTAATCACAAGTCTAAACTTTTCTATATGAAAACAATGGGTCATTTCTACTTTACACCCTCAGAGTGCATACCCACTCATCAAAAGTTTGTTTTTAAAATCTTATCAGGAAGATCAGGACAAAAATGGGTACAAGAAATTAATCATTGCCTTTGATCATCAACCGATCCTGGCAAGAAAGGTATGTCAGTCAGGTGATAGCCAGGCTGCCATTCTTTTTGCTCCCTGACATCAAAAGGTTCCTCACTCAACTATTAAAAGTGTGCCTTTCTAAGCTTTAAATTGTTCCCCAAGATTTTCTATCTTTGCCATTAACAAAATCATCTTAACTTAACTTTACTAACAATCTACATGCCTAGATTCTTTCTGAGGGTGGTGGTTGAATCATTAATATGCTCCAGCAACAATGGTTGGAAAAGGCCAGTCATTATTATTATTAAGTGCCGGTAATGCCGCCCAGTGGAGGGCTCGAAACCCCTTAGAGTTTTCATACAACCTGTAGATTATGAGGGATGTGGTGACTGTGAGCGCAATAAGCAGAGCTATGCTCAATGATAATTAGATCTCAGGACATGTAGTCAAGTGTGGTTTTGATGTCCACCCAGCCATGTTCCATGAGTTCCAAAGCTGCGTACTGTTCTCCCCCAACACTCCCCCCAAAATAAAATGAAACAATAACTATATTAATAAAAGAAAGTAAACAAAAGACCACTTTGCTCCTTTGTCTTCCCTACTTCTCCATCACCTCTTCTTTGTGTAATGGCATTGGGAGCTATGGGGTGTTCCACAGTATACCTTTTTGTCCAAACAGCTTTACTTGCAAATGTTCACTGTGATGAGTTGTTGGTCTTGCTCAAGGACCCTGGCCTCTGGCACACCATCAGTACTGGACCCTCACCAAAACTCAGATATCTTGATGTTGTCCCACGTCATGGAGATCCTGTGACTATGGCTCCACAGGGCTGGTCGCTTCACACACTCCAGCAGGTCATAGCCCTAAATACGGGCCTGGGAGGTTACTGAGTTGGTCAGTCTGGGCCACCACTGGGACTGCCCACTTCAGATGAGGAGCAAGGCCACCTCTCCTGTCCCCATACCACTGGGGTCAGCTCTCTCAGAGTCAGTGAAAATCGGGGCTAGCTCACAAAGGCCCTCAAATTTCAAGATGAGTAGTTCACGTTGTCTCTGGGTATAACACAGGCCATGGACATCAACAGAGACCTTGGCTTCAGTAGGGCCATGGACCCGTATAGAAGAACAGGCCATCCAGATCTGCATGACCCAGCAGCTGAATAACTCTCAGACACCAACATAGTTACTGGGGGCAGCCCAAACCCATAGACATCTGCTCAGTCTTCAACAGTAGCAAGACATGACCCTCAGCAGCAACTCAGGGCCTGATTATCACCATGGCCCCTTTTTCCAATGTAGTCCTGGTTGTTGTAGAAATCAATATGTAGATCATGCTGGCAACTAACTCATACAGATCCTCCTTCCTATGCCTAGCAACGGCTGGGATTAAAGGTGTGTGCCATCGTACCCAGCAATCACACTACCTTTAAGTTTGTGTATTGTGAGTCCTGTTTCTCTCTGTCTCTGTCTCTCTGCTCTCTGTCTCTCTGTCTGTCTGTCTGTCTCTCTCTCTCTCTCTCTCTCTCTCTGTCTGTGTGTATGTGTGTATGTGTGTGTGTGTTTACACCTACCTGTATGTAGAAGGCAGAGGTCATGAGATCTCTTTCATCTATCACAAGCCACCTTATTTGTTGAAACAAGGTTGCTCACAGAATCCAGAGCTTGCCAATTGGCTAGATTGGATGGCCAGTGAGCTCTGCTTGTCTCCACACCTACAACCCTAGTGCTAGGATTACAGACATGCACCACCACTCCTGGCTTTTACCTGGGTGCTGGCTATCAAGAGTCGGGCCCCCATGCCTACATAACAGACACTTTACCAACCGAGCCATCTCCCAGGTCCCATCTCCCTTCTTTCATGGAGCTCCTACTAACCTAGAACATCCCAGCTGAACTACAATGAGTGAGTCCTTATTGATGTTCCATTTGATGTATTCTGTCAAGCAAGGAAAAGAAAAGATGTGGTACAACAATGTAACAGACCACTCTAGAGTAGAAGCCAGATAAAAAGGTATACATTAT